GAAGAAGAAGAAGAAGAAGAAGAAGAAGAAGAAGAAGAAGAAGAAGAAGAAGAAGAAGAAGAAGAAGAAGAAGAAGAAGAAGAAAAAGAAGAAGAAGAAAAAGAAGAAGAAGAAGACGAAGAGTCTTTACATCCTTGCATTAGGCCTGTTATATTTTCCTTGCTCTCCACAAAGGCATTAAAACAAATTTTTCTTATTGCTCAATTCTGTATTCTCATTGCGGCCCTATCTGTCTGTCTATCTATCTATCTTTTTGATCTTCTGTTCCGACCTTCCTCTATGCCAGTTTGTCTCTGTGTTTGGAGACATGAGACGTCTCAGCTGAATGATCTGAAGAGCGATGGAAGTCACGGGTGTTTTTGAAGAGTGAATTCTTCTTCTTTTTTATGATGAACGCAAGCTATGAAATTTAACTCTTTATTCGCGGCGCGCCAGTTCAGCTGGGCGGGTGGTTGGAGGACGCCTCTGGTAGGTCTTATTTCTTTACTTTCTTTCTCTTGCTTCTGTTTGTCTGTCTTACTTTTTTCCCCAGCACTAAACGACTGTTACTGTATCGATTCGATGTGATCTCTTTACTCAAACAAACAAAGTTCAGCTGGTGCACAGCTACAATAAAAAACAACAACAACTAAACTATGAAAGCCCAGCAAACCCATCATAGTATCTAAAATCAAACTGTAGTTAATTGATTTCACAATTCATTTCTACTCAGTTTAGTGGGTTTTTTAAAATGCAAATAACTTAGATAGGAGCGGGGTTCTAGGCAACTTTGTGATGCTGAAAAATAAGATGACAAAACTGGCTGTCTGTAAAGGACGAATAGCCTGCGTTTCCAAGAGTTAAATGTACAGGCGCCGTTTTGGATTACTCATAGCCTTGTCTTTTGATCAATCTTGAACTGCAAGGCGCGTAATATTTATATTCGTTTTATAGACAGCCATGGAGCGAAGAATGAACCAGAAATTGAAATAACATTCACCTGTGATGTCTCATAACATCGCTTCTTTTCATGCCAGAGGGTTTCAATGATTGTACCAGTGTGTTGTAAATATGGCAGGTTGAATAGTTGTTTGACTGGTAGACGACAGAGAGAAGAAAAGAGAGGGACATGGAACAAAGAGAGAGTGGGGAGAGATGACGGGGGTGGGGCAGAGAGAGATAGAGGGATACA